GTTGAAGATTGGAAGGATCTGAAGAAAGCAATAATGAAATAGTATCATATTTAGATTCATGTTTGTAAATACAATTGTAAGTAGAAATATAATTGTGTGGGAAGACACGTGATTTATCTGCGGTAATCTTGTGACACTTTCACTACATTACTTGATCGGTCTGGTGTCAGAGGAGGGATTTTCCAGAGATTTGGCTGCATGGACAAAAGACCAGTTCAAATGATCCCTAAATGTTCTTCTTTATGGTGCTAGGCTTATGACTGTTAGTATGAAAGATTCTTCTCTGGTGGCACACATATTTCATCCTCTTTTATTCTCCCATCTCAGTCCCCTTAAGCCTTTGAAACTCAAATAGGTCAGGGAATTGCATAACAGAGTTTAAACCTCACTGCAGCTTTTTGTTGCCAGAACATTGAGGCAAGGAAATTGGAGAAAGCGATATTTGTCCATGAAACGTTTCCATTGTCCGAGCCAGGTCTGTGTAGGCTCATGGTGTAAGTGGTCATTGTGTCCAGCCATCGGACAGCCACAATAATCAATTGGTCGCACCGAAATGGTCAGTCCTGTATTTAATATGAATGCCCATCTTGAAGGATCACGGATTAGCCGTTAATTATGTCTCATATGCATTACTTGACACACGCAGACAAATATGGGAGTGGAGGTGAGTTGCAGGGCTAATGAAACATTAGGAGGGGCGTCTTTGGTGAGGAACAATCCAGGAAGTCATGTGAAAGGTTCTAAGAGGTCCCTGTGTTGATAAGATGGACTGATCAAGCCGAGGCAAGATAATAACCCAATGTTGAAATCCCCCTTGACCAACATGAGGGGATGTCTCATCAATGCAATTAAACAGTTGGCTCTTCTTTTGGCGATCTATACTTATGATATGAAATGGCATTGACAGCCCACTCATGAATAATGTAAGGGATTGTTAGAGATTAGGGGTTGTCTGTCATTCCATTTAATGATTAGCAGATTAATTTTTGTGATGAAATGTATAAAGTTGACACCTTTTAACAGACGCCCAAAATTTAATATTATTTTTTGACATTGTAAATATCATTTTTTTCTATGAAGGGACGGTTTCGGTTATCAAATTTCTGTACTGTCCTATAAATTAACCTGTTTGGATTTTAATTAAGGTTCTTTTCTTTAATGCTTGATTTATGAAGTATTTGTCATGTCTCGTATTTACCTAGAGACTGACTGACTCAGACCTTTTCCAATTAAATCTTTGAGCCTTTGTGTGCCCTTTCTATTGAAACATCCCCATTTAAACTCTTTACCCGAGCAGCTAACAGAAATGATCATTGTGAATTTATTGCATAAACCTCCTTCACAGTCTAAAAATTGAATTGCAAAATGTACCATTGTCTGTGGTATTGCTATCAGTTACCTTTCCCAACATGGCAGAAGTCATTCTATCCCTTGCTGTCCGATCCCAACACTTTCTTGTCATCTTATACTCTGAATAATCCCAGAAGTCCACTCTGAAACAGTTGATCCAGGATCTTGGGATGTCACTGCTATCTGTTCAGACCTGTTCTTCTGTTACTTGCAACTCATAGTCCTGACTCAAGTCACTAGCGTGCTGACTTATGTTCAGCTGACACATTGTTTACCCCACACACCCAAGTTAGTATATGTAAGGAATCCCATTCTAGTCCTGATCTGTGTATGGTGAATCCACCCTGATATCTGTTGTCTGTGTCCATGTGTCTGTTGGGCTTGCATCTGTATACATGTCTGAAATCAGGAATCAGCCAGCGGACCATTCCAGAACTCACAGACTCACTCAGACACTTAGTCCTCACCCAAACCTGGCTCTTTCAGCACCCAGACGTCACATAGGCACCACACCTTTAATCCTCAGACCACATCCAGGACTTAACAAGCCTACACCCCTGTAACTACACCCACTCCTGGACACAGAGAGCCCCCACCTCCAGCTCTCTAGCCCAGTCACCACACCTACTCACTGGACCCAGAGAGCCCCCACCTACAGCCCACTCCCTGGACCAAGACAGCCCACCCATAGGACAAAGTGGGCTCCAACCCCCAGTTACCACACCCAGGTCCCAGTCCCTTCCCTCAGCCAGCCCACCCACAAGCAGGACCAAGTCAGCCCCACCCAGGAAGCCCAACCCCCAGCCTTACCGAGGACCATGTGAGGTCACTCCCCTAGTCTACACCCATAGTCCCCACAGTTGAGAGCTCCACCCTAGGGCAGTTTTGTTCACAGGAGCACCCTGGTGGTGCTGCCTCATTATCACCCGCAATGTGCCTGACTCTTCCTCTCTTCACACAATTCATAATGTTCCACCAGGCTCCCAGAAATGTGATACAGGCTCACAACTTTCTTGTTCAGCACTGATTTCCTTCTTTACAAACCCCCCTCCATCTGTCAGAAAGCACTTTCATTGACATTTTCACCCTGGGCTAAGCAGATTTTGAACAGAGTGTGATAAATTAAATGTCACAATCAAAGTGTCTAACTCTAAGATTTTTACTGGACAAAAAAAGTGTCTTTAAGTTTGCAGGTGCTTCTTGTGTTTGGAACAAGTGACAGCATGAACTAAGTATGACGAGCTGAGCTGGCATCAGAGCCCAGTATGTTCCCAATACCAGCAACAGTTATACAACCAGATGGAAGAAAATGGGCTTATTTTTCATTCAATCATATGGGAATTGTCATTAGCTATTGGTAGACATGAAAGCTGCACCATAAAAATGCCATGCATGTTTTATGTATTGAAGGAGAGGAACGAGCCTATTAGTGTGTAGTAAAGATGAGAATGGAGAAATGGGCAGACTGAAAGTCAAGTTTACTTACAGGAGAGAACCCTGTCCACAGCCATAAATACTGTACCATAGTCTACATAAAAACAACTCTCATTCCAGCCTGCCTTTAAGCTGTTTCAAAGGAACATGTATCATTTTGCATTATTCCAATTATTCCAAGCTTACCTCGAATCTGAAGTTATTTCATTAATTCAAAATATGCCTCAAAACAAAATATCAATCAAAAGTCACATTTTGAATCAAAAATAAATTAAATTAAAACAATTTTTAAAAAGTGTTAACTTCAAAATCAAAATGTATATGAAGGAGAAAATCAGCTCTTTTCAAATTCCACGAAAAAGAATGATGTAGTAACTAAGAATAAAGAAGCTTTAAATATGACAACGAAGTAAATTACAGTGGTCGGTATCTGTGATCTTCCAACTCTACACCTTGTCTCATTTCCCGTGAAGCCTTCCAGGACATATGATATGGATAGCCCATGGAATGATTCAGTAGTTACCACAGTTTAGTTGATAATGTATTCCTCATGATGATTAATACAAAGTGTCAGACCGAATGAAAGTAATATGTCTCAGGACGACTTCTCTTATGTGTTAGCTCTTGTTTTGTCATGCATAGCTTCAGCCAGATGAGATACAAACATTACACACATTATCCGCCATCATTCTTAATGTTGTTGTCATTAATTAGACGTAATTACATTGGTGAGGTTAGTTTTGGGTTAATTGGTGATATTCTGGTTTTTATGGAGGAAAACGGATCCAGATCTCTCAGTGGGCTTGAAATGTTTGGAATATTTGAATCTGTGTGGAGTAAATGATTATGAGAAAATTAAATAAATATAAAGTAGGCACCTGATACCAGTTAGAGATATTTACCTGTAAGTTGTATTGTAAAAACATATGGTGTTTGTACACATGTGGATAGTTGGTTGTTAGGAAAGCATTAGCAAGACTAACAAGCAGCATGCGGACTGTTAGCAGGACCTCACAGGATAATGGCGTGCGCCGATGAGGGCCGATGAGTGAAGTCTGTACCACACATGCTCTTGTCACGTTGTGCCAAACTACAATAAACTAAACTAAAGCCATAGATGAAATATTATTTCTATAAATATTGCGAAAGCAAGAAAAATGAGAACCGTGTGTGAGAAGTCATCAAAAAGATATTAATAGAGAGAGGCTGAATTCTGACGCTTGCACACCGAGTGCCCAGGTAGGGGGTGTTTGTAGAAATGATTTGCGAGTGTTTAATGAGGTTGAGAAGTGAAAAGAGAAGGCTGGTGTATTCCACATAAATAAAAAATGTTTCGATGGTTGGTGGGAGAAGTAGGATATGGTGATGGACTAACGAATAGCAAGATGATTCGGGGAGAGGGGACTGATGGGTTGTCGTTGGCGGCAACGTTGGCAGCGCAGCGGCACGACTGACAGCCGTTTGGTAGTTAGGGATGCCACAGAGGCTACAAATATTGTATATGGCAGGAAGAGTTTATGGATGCAGTAGTGTGCATTCCTCCTGTCAGAGAACCTCCAAGGCAGTTTGCAGATTGTAAGGGAAGTCAAAAAGCAAATTTTTGGCAGTAATTTCATCCAGACAAACAAACCCTGCCTGCCAGAAGCCTCGGCCATTATTCCCTCTCTCTGAAATTGAGCATTAACCATGGTGTCATGTGCAGAATTGGCCCAGTATATCAAAACTCGGAGTTGAAATGCCTGCTCGTCATTTATGTGAAAGCCGTGTATGTAATTAGTTGTGCGATAGAGAAGTGACATGAGATGGAAGGAGAGGCTGGGAGAGGCAACCTCTCCAGCTCAGATGTCAGGCCAGGTGTGCCCAGACAAACACTACTTATTATTCTGTGCTCCTATTTCTTATACTTGCCTTGGCTTCATGTCTGCCCTTCTGAATCTTGATCCCCCTGACATAATTCTTACATTAACATTGCACGCTCTTTAGTTGCTTCCTTAACACCATCTGTATATTTCAATACATTTGTTACATATCTCAGTAGTAGGTCTGATATGAAAATATGACAGTAATTGCAATGATTAAGCACACATATTTTATATGCAAATATTGTGAAATATTTTTGATAAATTAACTTAAATTTGTATATTGTTCATTTTATTAATTATTTTGAATTTTTAACATATATCCTCAATTCTTATTATTGTTGTTTATGTTTTCAGGTGAAAGACCTTTCAAATGCAACATCTGTGGAAACAGATTCTCCACCCGAGGCAACTTGAAAGTGCACTTTGAACGTCATAAGGCCAAGTACCCACATGCCAAGATGAATCCTCATCCTCAGCCAGAGCATCTTGAGCGCCCAATGCCAATGCTTACTCCCTTTGGAGTACCCCAGATGCCGACAGTCCCCACCTCCATGCCGCTGCCTCCAGGTTTGATGTCGCCGCCAGTCACAGCCTCACTCCCCATGAGTTCTTTGGGAATGTTCATGCCATCGCCACCAATCCCAGTTGCCCCACGGCCTCCACCACCAAAATCATCCGATCCCGAATCTAAGCCGAAGGACAAACCTCACTCTAGTCCTCCTCCTGCTAGTGAGGCCTCCTCTCAGAAAAGCCCACCTGAAGATAGTTCACGCAATTTCAAGTCTTCCGCGGCTCCTCCTCTGCCATCTTTAACCTCTGCGAACAGTACGCCAAGCACGCCAAGCACGCCAAGCACTCCCATTATCTCAAGCACTCACTTGATGCCAAGTCTGAAGCTGCCTAGTCCTTCAATGTCAACTCACAGTGCAACTCACAGTGCAACTCACAGTGCAACTCACAGTGCCATGCCCAGCTACAGCTTGCCAGCCACCCCGACCAGTTTTCCTTTGCCATCCCCATTGGCATCCAACATGCCATTAGGAGTAATGGGATCTCCTTTTGGACCACTGCCACCACCACCACCACCTCCTCCTCCTCCACCGACTACCCAAGGAGACATGTTCAGAAACTCTATTCTGCCAACTAAGACTATAGAACCTACTGAAGATCTGGAGAGATATATGGAGTGCACCAAATCTGAGACCTCAAAACTAGAACAGCTTGTGAAGAACATTGAACAGAAGATCACTGACCCAAACCAATGTGTTATATGTCACAGAGTCCTTAGCTGTAAGTCTGCCCTTCAGATGCATTATCGTATTCACACTGGAGAAAGGCCATTCAGATGCAAGATCTGCAGCAGATCCTTCACTACCAAGGGTAATCTGAAGACGCACATGGGTGTACACAGATCCAAGCCCCCACTTCGGATGATGCACCAATGCCCAGTCTGCCATAAACAATTCACCAACTTGCTTGTTCTCCAACAGCACATTAGAATGCACACTGGTGAACCAGTGCATGATCTGAACCATGCGGCCTTGTACAGGCACCCTGACTGGGCACCAAAACCTCCAGAATTTGGGAAGATGTTTGACCACAAACCGTTTGACTTGTCCCAACACCATGGAGAAGGAAAAGAACTGGACCTCAGCAGGAGTGGCTCCTACTGTGGCAGTGAAATGATGGATTCATATGGCCCTAACTCTCAGGAAGATGATGACTTTCGCTCTGAAAATGACATGAATGATGAAGAATTAGACATGGAGGAAGGTATGGATGATCCCAGAAATGAGATGGTGGACGATGCTGAGATGATGGATGAGAAAGATGACTATGATGAACCATCAGATGAAAACATACTATCTGAACAGCCTCAAGAGGGAGAAAGACCCAACTCTGCTGCATCCAGAACATCCCCTCCAAGGGAAACATCTAGTCCAAACCCAAGCTTGCATCCTTCTTCATCAAGACCTGAAAGCAGAGGTACTCCTGTTATCACAAGCTCCTTTTCTAGTCCATACTACAACACTTCTCTGGCCGCCCTTGAAGAGAGAGTGAAAGCTATTGATAGTCAAATGGCTCAGGCTTCCTTTGAACGATTCCGCAATAGTATGGGACTTGGTCACAGCCCTGGACTGATGACCAAACTGCCATCCAGCTACCCTTACCAGAATGGTGATAGGTCTCCAGTTACATCTCCAAGAAGTCCCTCTATATCTGAGGCTGGGTCAGAAGGAAGCAACATGAGAGATGACCAGCCACATGGCTATAATCCTGATGCTCCTCTGCCCTTTGGATTTCCCATGATGGGCTACGGTGATCTCAGATCTGGCGCAGAGAAACGAAACACCACATGCAACATTTGCTTCAAGACATTTGCCTGTCGGAGTGCACTTGACATTCATTATAGAAGTCACACTAAAGAACGCCCCTTCAAGTGTGATGTCTGTGACAGAAGTTTCTCCACCAGAGGAAACATGAGGCAGCACATGCTTACACACAAGATTCGGGATCTGCCATCTCAATCCTTCACGGGTAACAGTGACGACAGCCAGAGCGGCTTCACAAGAAGTGAGCCATCATCGCCCAGGGGCCCTAGTCCTGATGAATCCCCTCCAGTAGCCAAGGCTGAATCCCACCCCAAATCTGAAACCCCACCACCAACTTCAGCACCCACCTTAAGCAATAACAATGATGAAAGTCACAATAATAACAACAACAACAATAACAACAAGAGTCCTCAGCACTCCACCACTCCAGTGACCTCTCAATCATCGATGAACCACAACAGTAACAGCTCAGACAGCTCTCAATTCTCACGCAGAACAGGCCCCAAACATCAATGTATGACCTGCATGAAAACATTTTCAAGCGCCAGTGCACTTCAGATCCATACCAGAACACACACTGGAGACAAACCCTTCAAGTGTACAGTCTGTGGGAAGGCCTTCACCACCAAGGGCAATCTGAAGGTCCACATGGGAACACACATGTGGAGCAACAGTCCCTCAAGAAGAGGCAGGAGGATGTCCATCGAGCCACCCTTCATGCTGTCTCATGTCAAGGACAATCCATTCCTTGCTGGCTTTCACCGCCCCCCAGAGTTCTACTTCCAGTACCCTCCTTTCATGAATGGCTTGCCACCTCAGAAAATGAATGAGATTTCTGTTATACAGAGTGTGAATGGAGGCATGAATCATCAGTACCCACCGATGCATCAACCTGGCATGGGCTTCAGTGTCAAGGCAGAACAAAAGGAATCGGAACGTGAACATGAACGTGAACGTGAACGAGAAAGAGAGCGGCATCTTAGTGATGGCCGGGGAAGTGAGAAAGATGTGGATGTAAGCAGGGAAACCAGAGACAATGTATCAAATGGTGGCAGTAGCCCTAGTGAATCAAAACACATCTTATCTTCAGGAGAACTAGATTTGAGCATGAGATCCTCCTCTTCGGCCTCGGCCAACTCAAGCTCACTCTCTTCTCCTCACAGTAAGGAGTCGCCCAATGACTCAAGCCCATACTCCTCTCAGGCCTGGCTATGGAAAGCTGGCAGCTGCCACTTCTGTAATCAGACCTTCCAATCTCAGGCTGCTCTAGAACAACATATACAAACTCAGCACGTTCCAACATCCCATGTGACCGGAACAGACTCTCATAAAGCGCTTGTGGCATAGGCCGTGATATAACATACTAGCTTCAGTGTGACATGAATATTGTGCTTAGCTAGAAACATTCCAGTGTCAGTGACTGTGTTGTGGTGTATGGTTGAGCAGCTGTAGATCATTGCAGATCTCTCATTGTGACAAACTGTGTGCTGCAGTAGACTGAATGGCTGCTGCTTCTATTGAAGCAGGTCCTGCAGGATGTCCTCAGTGCTGCTGGGTCTTCTAGTCCTGTGGTCCTCAGTGCTGACCTGTGAGCAGGATTTGTAGGAGGACCTGGATGGAGGTCCACGGTTGCAGTGCTGAGTCTTTGTTTATCATCCTACTCCATCATTGTCATCATCACGTAACAAGGTTGTGACATCAACTTGTGACATTATGTTGTTGACTTAGTGATCATCTTGTTTTTACTCAAATGAGAAAATCCTACAAACAGTGATGTTTTTTAACTTTGAACAGTGAACATGTGGATTTAGTGGTCAGTGAACTGATATCAGATGCCATAGTAAATCATTGATCCCTCATTGCTACTTAAAGACATTGAAGCCAGTTCATTGCCGATCGCATTTCTGCTCTGTTTACAGGGCCTCATGTGTGCTTAATATTTCTTCTTGTTATCTACTGTTCTGCAGCATTAATCTATCAGTTAGGATTAAGTGGTAGTGTAGACTCATGTACTTACAATCTTGTTATGTTTATGTCTTGAATTGACATGAATGAATGTAATTATTATTTGTACATAATTTATACATGTTCTAGTCGGATCGAAACATCTAATCAATATGGAATCAAAACCATTTTTGGTTGTAACTGTTTTTGCCAATAGGGATCACATCTCTACCTCCCCTTTTGACACTCTTCAATGTTTGGAGTTAAATATTTTTGTGTTCATATGCGGCAAACCAACTTAAGTCAGTTTTTTCACAAAAATACGTACAGTGCATTATTTTTATAACCCTGAACACGTTCTACTTATTTGATTTGTTTGGTTTGTGAATCTTACTTACAATTTTGTTTTTAATACCACAACCAAATGGTTTAATGGTCCTCTTCTACTTACAGATTTTGCAATTTTTATGATGCACAGTTTATTTTGGATTCTCAGTCAATGTGATATGTAAACTGCATCCATGGAGCTAGACTTTGAGATGAGGTAATTTTTACCAGTGTGTTGCTAGGCTATCTCAGCCACCGTGATGCAATCGGAATCCTTTTGACATATTTGTTGACTGAATATCCATGTTTCAGAATTCTTGTTATAATCTATAATCCGTTCAAATATTATTAATCACCAAAGATTTTGTTGATTTTATTTCATTGTCAGAATATATCAATCATTTTTGAGTATTTTTAGTATTACCATGGCTACAGCATTTTGTATGCCATGCCTATGCAAAAAACCAAAGACGTAAGTCAGTCTACATTGCTTTTTGTCAGCTTTTGTTATTTTGATATGACACTGTTCTCTTTGTGTTTCGTCCAGTCAGCTGGCTGAAAAATAAATGTTGTGTTACAAATAGCATGGACATGTTCAGTGTGTAAAATGCTGAAAGCAGTTCGGTGCTATGTGGCCATTGCTTGGGGAAAACTTACAACTACTTATATGTTATTTGGCGATGTACTATTTTTCATTCTTGTTACCCTTGTTAAATGTTTGTAGAATAGTCTTCCATTAAAAGACAGTGTCTAAATGTATATTGAAAAAAGTCTATAGCACCTTTCTGTTACTTGTTAATCAAAATCTTCTACGAAACATCCAGGGTTAAGGTGCCATAACACATTTCTTGGTAGAAGTAGATTTTGTCGCTTCTTGTACTTTTTGTAGCACTTGTTTGTTTATTTTGCTTTTTGCCTTGATGATCTGTGATAGTCGCTAAGAAATCCGTACTTACGTTTTCCACCATTGCATATGTTGAAGTCAAGTTTTGGAGTGGTTCCCATTCATTCTTCTTGAGATCTGGAAGGAAATCTGGCAGCTTTTTGGTACTTTAACCTTCCCCTACCTTGTAACAGAAAATCTTCTTGTCGTACTGACAAACGGATAGTATTGGCTGTACTCGTCATGAAATCACAGTTTCTTAGTCCGAACTACGAACCCACTGAACTCCTTCCCTATCCATTAGTTAAGCTAGAGCTGATCTTGTTGTGGAAGAGGCATATCAATTTTCTTTTCTCCAACGCCTGGCTGCCCGTCCATGGTTCCGAAATCCATAAAACTAGGACGTTCTTTTGTGTTCTGATTTGAGAAACATATCACCAGTATCGAATTTTGATCGTGGAATCCAAACGGCAGAAGACAACGAAAGAGAACACAACTTGAAATGGCTGCGAGCCTTTTGAACTACGCAAAACAAATAATACCTCTTTACCCCGAAGACTATACACAGACTTGTTATTGTGTTTGGCCTCGTATATTTTAACCATTTTAATTTTTCCAATATGATATTTTTTGCTTCGAAGGCATTTTGTTCGGCAAAGGCAATTTAAGATGCCCACAAATTGTATATAGTTTGTAGATATGGTCTGTTGAGATATTTCGGCTCTATTGCACGGTATGGTTTACCAGTGAAAATTTTTATGTTTGGTAAATTCTTCTTCAGTTTGCGTTCCTTCATTCTTTGACCTTTCGTTTATCTTCTCTTGAGTTAGAACGTTAACTTTGTCTCTTAAAGAGGGAGGCAGTAGGATATAGCTTTATATTTTGTCATATGAAAAATAAACCATTGTTCACTATTCAAATGCAGCTTTTGTGATTTGTTACTATGTGTTTGTGTCGTGCGAATGGAACATACATACGCTTTTAGAGTCAAGATTTTCAAGAGCTTCCGAAGTACCGACACTGTTTTAAGTTTAACCTTTCCTGCTTTGGCCGCTTTTGTAACTGGAATATGTTCAGAACACTTTGGGAGGGTGGGGTAGCCTAGTGGTTAAAGCGTTCGCTCATCACGCCGATGACCCGGGTTTGATTCCCCACATAGATGAAATGTGTGAATCCAATTTCTGGTGTCCGCCGCCGCCGCGATATTGCTGGAATATTGCTAAAAGCGACGTAAAACCATACTCACTCACTCACTCAGAACACTTTGTGGAATAATTGGACGGGTTTATTCATGACATTGTAAGACTGGACAGATGGTATTTTTAGGTCGGCAATCTCGGTAGCTTATGGAAATCAGGTGGTAAATAAATCTACAAATACCGCCATAAATGGCAAAGAGATCCCTGAACACGGACAAATCCCTTGCTGACGAAGTACGACCAGCGTTGAAGTTCCTATATGCGTATACACATTTCTTTGATAACTCAAGCCACCAGTCTGATAGATGGAGATATACGAGCAGACGATGGATAAAGGTGTATATGTCCAATTGCCGTGCAAACAGAAGTCTGTTTTTAAGTAATATGATTTAGGGTGGTCGGATTGGACTGTAATCACTTCGTGGGAAGGTCCACACAAATGAAGATTTTGTAACTTGAGTTCGAAAAACAATTTATCTCTACGCAAGGGTGCTAAAACCAGCGAAACACTCCACCAGTCACCATACTCGTTAGTTTCGGATATTACGAAGTGAGTGAGTGAGTTTAGTTATACGCCGCAGTCAGCAATGTTCCAGCTATATGGCGGCGGTCTGTAAATAATCGAATCTGGGCCAGACAATCCAGTGATCAACAACATGAGCATCGATCTACGCAATGGGATACGATGACATGTGTCAACCAAGTCATCGAGCCTGACCACCCAATCCTGTTAGTCGCCTCTTACGACAAGCATGGGTTGCTGGAGATCAATTCTAACCCGGATCTTCACAGGTATTACGAAATAAACTGACGGGTGAAAGAAAGTATACACCTGATATGATGCATGGAATATTGCATTGGATACAGTATCAAATACATCACCACTCAGCTTGGTATGATATGTATGGTATGAAACCCGCATCATCATGGGGTCTACTCCCTTTTGCCGGCAGTTTAAAACGACCTCCAGGATCCGCTGATCGTGTTCGATTCCAAGATTGACCCTGACTGATGATCCTATTAACATCCACCTTCACCTGTGACACTTCCTACAACAGCACAACGGCACAGTGTGTTGATTTCCCCCGCCGTAATAGTGGAATATTGCTCAAGGCGGGGTGGGTTAGCCCAGTGGTTAAAGCGTTCGTTCGTCACGCCGAAGACCCGGGTTCGATTCCCCACATGGGTACAATGTGTGTAGCCCATTTCTGGTGTCCCCGCCGTGCTATTGCTTGAATATTGCTAAAAGCGGCGTAAAACTAAATTCACTCAAAACATAACGTACTCAAACCCTTATATGTAAAGATTGTGACAATACACATTACATAGCGAAGGCACAACGCAGTAGAACATTATTACGATTTCATACACAGCTAGTTTAATACATAAGCGGTAGTATTTCGAACTCCTGTGTTACTCAAATTGGGTCCGTAATATCAGACTTTGCTTTACCCGAGTTTACTGTAAACTGAAGGTGTGATTACTCGAATGTGGTCGTATATATGTGGTTAATACGTGCAGACCTTAAACAATGTATCTGTTGTAATAATATTGCAGAAAGTGGGGTGGGCTGGTGGGTGGGATTGTGTGGGTGTTTTTGTGGTTTTGGTGGATTTGCTCTCACAACTTATGTGGTCTTTGAATAACTGCTGAAGCTATTATTTGCACGTGTGATCACTGACAGGTAGCTGCTACAAGTTGAGCCTTTACCTTTAGTCGACAGGTGTGAATTAAAGCTGGGATATGTATGGGATTCCTTACCATCCAATCGAACTGACTCGGCTTTCAGTGTTGGCTGTTTATATACATTTATACACTACACAGATTACATATACATGTATACACGTACATACTTACACTGTTCCACTTTGCAATTGATTTAGCTCACCTTATCAACCTACTCAGTGCCGAAAGTTGACTCGCCCTCGTCTGCACCTACACAACATCATCCATTGCCAGGATTGTTTAAAAAATAGATGGTTTTCTATTTCTAAAAATGATATACACATGGACAAAAGTATCGCAACACCCATGTTTTTTAAGCCATATATTTTCATACCATACATTGATTTTAGATATGCACGTGTTGCAATGAACGGCGAGTAATACGTGTAGGGCTGGGACGGTAGGAAAAAATGGAATCGAGTACCCGCATGTACTTACCGGAATCGGAATCGAGTACCCGGAAATGTAAGGAATAAAGCGCTTCTGTCAACTTTCTTAATATTCAATCACGAGTTGACAGACATTTTTCAAGAAAACTTGAAATGATAGCAATAAGACACTGAAACTGAAGTTTGGCTATATAATTTGCGTTTGTTTAAACCATTGCTTATATTCCTCCTTAAAACACAGATTTAACTTTTCGCTCCTGCTGTTACTGTAACTTGACTACTCACTGCTCACGCGCAGATATATTATAGTCGTTAATAATAACCTCTATTAATCGGACAATACCAATGATGCAAATGAGTGCTACGTCAATCATGAAAAAGACAAGTTATTATCTGCCCTTGCCATTACAGAATTCTCTCCTTTTCCGGATACTCGATTCCTAGAAATAGGACTCGATTCCAGCTGTTCCCGATCCGGATTCGAGTAGCCGAGTACCCGTCCCAGCCCTAAATACGTGAATCCGTCATTAAACAAATGTCAAGCGTCAGTAAACTATTCTTACATCTCGTTAACTTACAAACTCAATTGATTTGTTGTTGATAAGCAAATATGGGACCTCCTCAACTGACAACTACTCAACGATGGCTAGTTACTGGTATGCGGGATGCTGTCATGCCATTGAGGGCTGTTGCAAGGGATTCTACAATATTTACTCCTCTGAAGTGAGTGAGTATGGTTTTACGCCACTTTTAGCAATGTTCCAGCAATATCACGGTGGGGGACTCCAGAAATGGGCTTCGCACAGTGTACACATAAGGGGAATCGAACCCAGGTCTTTGGCTTGACGGGCGAACACTCTAACGACATGGCTACCCCACCGCCCCTGATTCCTCCGAAGAAAATAAATATCAACACGTTTGATACAATCTCTAACTCGAATATCTCGAATGTTTTCCTTCTCCAGAAATTGACTGATCGTACACGATATAGAAACTCGTCATTTCAGCTCAACCATCTTGTCCGCAGACATTTTGCAGCTTTGTCCCGCCGCGACGTCTTCTGGTCCAGCCCGGTGGTCGAGCCCGGTGTCCAGGGTGTTTTCAGGCCGTCGTCATCTATGTAAATTTGAACAGTAGACAAAATATATTCAATATCAACATAACTTTGACTAAATACTATCCATGGTTCCAGGCAAGTGTGTGTGGTGTTAAAGAAAACTGTAACAGAATATGACGTTTCCCAAACAACTGAACTTTGACATAAGTCATTCAAATAATAGAGTGAGTGAGTATTGTTTTATTGTGTTTAAACAACATTTAAAACTTCTCAAGACAGAACAGAAATGTAAACGAACTAAATGTAAACCAACCCGGGGCTTCGGCTTGACGAGCGAACGCTTCAACCACCAGACTACCCCACCGCCCCTAAAACGACGAAGACGTACAATACCCTCTAAACTAGAAGCAATATTTACTTTAAATATTCAATCAAACGAAGATATTTTTAGTTTTAACGATAATACGCCTCACAAACAACGCCCTTATTGTGTAACACTTCACACCCGATCCTATTTCAGAGTAAACGTTAATATTGAGACGCGATGGAATTTAATTTAAATCCTTTCTATCTGGATATCGCTAGAAATCGGTCAGACAGTCCTTTGTGCTAAAGTATATTGAGGAGTAGACAACTAGACCCTTTTATGATAAAATTCCTATATTTTGCTGCAAAACAATTTTCTCCCTGTGCAATGTGTGATCTTGGCTCTGTAGTCATAGTAAGCTTCAATCATATCCTATCAGGGTATCCCAGTTACAATTGGCGGGTGTGAAATAACTATCTCTACATGATTGCTTGGCATTTGGATGGTGTTGGACAATGAATTATCAATATGACAAGCCAACAAAAGAACACATATCGTCGGATGGGAATTCTTTTGAATGGTATGATGAAATCGCTGACCCGAGGCATGCCGAATGCCTTTTATCTCTCGCGATGATTATCGAAGTTATGGCGGAAAATTGCGAGTCTCATAAGACCGTCGTTATGATGTCGTAAATACGAGGGAGATGCATCGTCATATTTACATCTCATTTCGATGTTTAGTCATAAAACTGGGAGATGAAAAGCTAGCAAATTCATTAAAAGAAGCTAAACAGCTTCACTTGCCTCTGGTTTGGCCATTTTGGCAGAGTTGCACGATAACATTGCCGGGAAATTGTGTACGTACATTTGGGAAACGTCGTATAGCAAACAATCTGCAAACCGTTCTTGCAGTTCTGCACCTCCCAAAACTATTTTCCATTGTTGTCTGTTTCTCAGCACTAAAAACACGCACCTTCCATAAAAGCACGTGCACGTGAATGATGCACGTGCAGCACGCTTGGGTTCGGTGTTAATGCCTTAAGCTATGTGTAATATACGACTGCAGCAGTTTTATGCATCAGAATTTGTGAGGATTCCCATAGGCATTATCATCGGAAAGGTGAGTGCGACTATACACAAGTATCTTGATAATAGAATAACACCTCCTGCATGGACACGCGTGTCATGATCTTCACGTGCTGCACGTGCACATCCGCCAGGAACGTATTACAATTGCTCGG